AATTGGAACTATTCCTGTACAATCTTCTTATTCTGCTTCTTCACAGTACACCTTTTTAAAAAATTCTGAAGACAATATAAAAATTTAAGTTCACTTAACACTGAGATATAGCTCTCCCGTAGTTTGTGAAATCTATATTTCATACTGGTCTTTTTCACATTGTAGTGTGCACCAGAGTATCATGGGAGCCGTGCTCATCGTGCAGATTCTCTCAGACCTCAACTCTCAGGGATTGCGATTCAAGATCAAGGATTCTGAATTTAAAATGGAAGGGATTATTTAAAAATCTAAGGTTATTTTAATGCTTTTGTTCTGTAAACCACATAGAGGAAATTAAGAAAAAAACGAAACTGCTGTGTCAGTACAGAGAGAGAGATGTATACAAATTCACACACATGTTCTTTTGGCAGATATTCTCAGTTGGTTGCTGACATTTTCTACTCATCTTTCCCTTGTGACCTGTCACTAAAGAGACTGAGAAGCCCAGTATTCATGTCCCTCATCTCCTTTGTAGCGATGCTTGTTCATGGAACTCCAATTCTGGTCACAGAGGGCTTCCGGGAAAGCAAGATATGAACAGGTTATCATTGCCTCCCTACCCTTTGAAGTAGATGTTTATCATATTCACAATCATCCACCATCTTTTAAATTGCCTGGCACGGAAGTCAAAATCTTCAGAACCTCTTATGTTCTCAGTTGGCAGAACCATTTCTGAGCAGATATCGTAGTCTCATCTATCAGACATATCCACTGGGAGTGATTTGGAAGTGTCCATGTTAGACATCAGAGTCTGGGACTGAGGCACTGGGTGTGTGTACTGTCGGAGCCAATGACAGCGATGTCCCACTCGTGCTGCAGTGGATCAGTCTCCTGATTGTTTTGTGGTTGAAAGTCCTTTGTCCCTAGAAACCCCCCAATTTCAGTATAAAAACATAAATGCTTCATATTCCGGGAATCCCGGTCATCTTGGGCAGACAGGGAAGATGGTATACCATATGGCTGGGTGATATTCTTGATATAAGAGTGGTAGTAAATTCAAGTTCCAGGAATTAGGAATTTCCTGGAATTCAGTGCTAAGTAATGGCAGCGACTAATGTTCCTGGCGTGTCCTATTGTGGGATTCAGGGTGGAGATTTTCTCCAACCTAATGTCTTTTCTGTACGCTGCCGGTGGTCACACAAGCTGATGAATATTCCTAAACGCTCTTTAACTTAAACCAGTAAGGATATGTGTATTGTTTTCGAGTAAGATCACGGAATGACTTACCTTCTTCTGCAGCCATGACCTTGACAGCTTTATCGGCCATCGCATGACGTGAAATGAAGAAAACAATGATAAAAGCCACAGGGAAGGACAGTCAAGTGCAAAGAATGAGCTCGTGTCCTTACTGGTATAAATAAAATAATTAACCTGTCTTGGAATGGCACAGTTTTTTGTTACCAGAGATAACCAATGTCTAGTTTTTAGTCATCCTACTCCAGTCATGTACATTCTTTTACATGATAATGGCTCATACTGCATATGCATGTGATATTACATGCTGTTTTGCCCTGCTTAGTACTGTGACTTCCATATTTATCTGCCAATAATTTGGGTTGAAAGCATCTATAGTGACTATAAACCCGAAATTTCCCTGGATGCTCTATCTTCTTCTCCCACACACTGTTACTCACCTGTATCTTATATTGCTTTCTAGTTTTTTTGAGTGTGCATTGGTCTTGTATAAGTCAATTGAAACCCTTAAAATTTTAGAGTAAATATGAGATATTTGAAAATATTACTGTAAACTAGATATAAAATGTTTCATAGAATCATAAAAACACAATTAAAAACTGGTGGATAATTTCTGTCCAGTCTGCCTTCCTGCAGACCTAAGGAGAGTGTCCTGTTGCTCCGTTCTCACCTCTATGCCAGGACTCTGCAGACCGGTTCCTAGAAGGGACAGCCTAGGACATCCTGTGTCCTTTTCAAACAAGAAGGGAGGCAGTTTCCGTTGGGAGTTGAATAGATGATTAAAAACAGAAGAGGAAGAACAGAAGACAGGGAGGCATGAAGGAAGCTGAGAGTGAGAGAAAGATTAGAAAAACAAAACAAAGGATGGGGAACAAGGGGGTAGTCTAAACATTTATGGCTTCTTTATGTTATTCCCTCATGTGTCATCATATGACTTAAAAGCCCTTTCAGTTGAGCTCTATCATTCTTTCCCCTTCAATAGGAATAGTGCCGGCCTCAAGCTTGCGCGGGTTTCTTGTTTCCCCCCATGTTTCCCTAGATGGTCAACTGCTAGTCTTGCTCTACGTGCAGTGTGAGGAAAGGATTAAGGTTCCCCTCTCCCCCCATGTGAATATCCAGTTGTTTCAGCTCACTCACTGTCATTGAGTCGATTCCAACTGATAGCTCAATTTGGGGAACGTCAGCAATTGTTCAAACAATAGTGGGCATTCCGACATGTATCTTTCCATTTATGTATGGCTTTCTAAAGTTTGTTCCTCAGCATTCTATAGATGTTAGCTTACATGTCTTGCACATAGTATATCAAAATTCCCTTGAAGAATGTTTGTCTTTATTTTTTAACTATTCATTACTAATATACAAAAATAAATTTTTTATTGATCTCATATACTATAACCTCATTAAAATTGATTGCAATAGCTTTTCTCAATATACACAATCATCTCACGCACAGAACATTTGATTAATTCCTTTCCAAGTCTGTGCTATTTTCCCTATTTATTACACTGACTACTACCTTAAGAATAATGCTGAACAGAAATGGTTAGAGACAATACACTAGGCCTTTCCCTAAGTTTGATGTATAATGTTTAGTTAATTCTGTAGTCATATTTATCAACTGTCAACTACGTCAGGCAAAACTACAGAGTCTGATGCCTAACAGTGTACACTTCCAATCAGTCTAGAATCTAATGCCTAATAGTGTATATTTCCAAACAGTCTCAATGGATATGTCTGATAGATGAGATCTCACTATCTGCTCAGAAATGATTCTGCCAACTGAGAACATAAGAGGTTCTGAAGATTCTGACTTTCATGCCAGGCAATTTAAAAGATGGTCTTTGGTATCTTGTATCTATAGAAGACATGTAAAACTTGAGATCTGTAAGCTCAATCTTGCCCAGAGAGATATTATCTGTTGGTGGACCCCATTGATTTTAAAATACAAGTACTTTTTTTGAGTTTTACAAAGAAGCCCTTCCCCTGGCGACTCTGTGTCTACAGGTCTGGGATCTGACCGTGGGGTGTATATTTCTAATGAAGAGCTCAGAGTGCTTTGATAACGATGGCTGAACTGCTTTTTGGAAAGACAAGAATAGAAAAAAAATTAGAAAATAATTCAGCTTTTTTTTTTTTTTTTTGCTTTTCTCCTAGGGCTTTTCTGTTTACTTCCGTCACTTTCCACAGGTGACCACAGTAGCAGGCAAATCAACAGAAACCATGACCTTCCATTTCTCTAGACCTCCCAGCCTTCTTCCTTCATGCAGTCTGCATCTCCAAGTCTGCCAAATATGGACTTTACAAAATACACAGAACGTAGGTAATATATGTTAATGCGTCTAAATAAATACAGTGACATACAAATCTCTGTTATGAACATTCATACTCACAAAAGACTATATCCACATTTTACCCTAAGAATTTGGTGCCTGTCAAAATGTAGTTTAAAATTATTACTTTATTTACTGCATGGGTTTGAATATCTTGAGATTTACATGCATATAAATCTCCAAACTTAAGAGCAATTTCCCTGAATATGTTCCCCAACTCCCCTCTCCCCAAAGAACGTGGAACACAGGAATCAAGACGGAAAAGGAGTAGCTATTTAGGGTAACAGCTTGGCACACAATCATTCAGAGGAAAGACCTGTGTCTGTAACCCATTGGGGCACACTCACACACTCATTAATCCAGATGATTCTTTTTAACATCCTCAACAAGTTTACGTAATGCTGAAATAATTAACATACTTGAATTGTTACACACAAAGGGATAGGCACAGTAATGCTGTCTAGCAAAAGAGAGACGGCATCGTTCCCGTGACTTCCAAGTGCCAGGTTTGCCCTGCTATTTTCCTGAAGAGAATTCTTCAGGAACACAAGAACTATTACCAAGGAAAAACAATCACTCGCAAACTTTTTAAAACCAGATTTCCCCTTTTGAAGCACAAATTCCTCAGCCTCAATCGGAGCCAATCAACAGGGAGTACTCTGAAATTTAATTTTGACACATAATAGTTTTCAACTTGTCATCTCTTTCTTTTTTTTCACTTGAGGAATTCTTTTACCCTTCTTGGAGTCCTCTTATCATCCACCTTTGCAGCATGCTTCCCCAGGACGCTCCTGCCTCCCCTGTGGACCTTAGCGAGCACAGGATACCTAAGAAGTCCGCTCTGCTTCTCCCTTCTTCACCCCTTCTCTTTTTCCTGAGAGGGTTTGCTGAGTTACAAAATGTCCTGGAATGCTACGAGTCAGGATGTGGCAAAAAGAAGGCAGCCTACTGTTTCATTTAGACAGCCCCTTCTCGGATGCACACCTCTAAATGTCTTTGGCGGGGGTTTCCTCTTCTTGTGTATAAAGACAAAAAGGGACCGGATAGGTCAAGGCATTTGAAAAGAATTAAGCATTCTCTCTTATTTTGACTTAAAATTCTTTCAAATAAAATCACAAATGCTTCCTAGAATATCCTTGGGGGGTAAAAAAAAGTGTTTGATATGACAGGATGAAAAAAAATGTGCCCTATTATCTCATGTCTAGTGGCCAAACACTCTCAATTCAGTGTTCCCCTACTATCCAATGGGTTTAAAGTGAGTGGAGCCCTGGGTTTGGTTAGCATGATTTCAGGAAATGGAAGGATCCCTGTATTTTGTTTTAAAGTGGTTAAAAGATGAAGAGACTTCTGAGTAGATAACTTAGAGATAAGTACAACATATTTCCCAATACTTTTTAAAAGGGAAATATCAACCAATCAAGAAATATTTTACTTATCTACAAATGATTTCTTTCTTTAATGGTTTCATTATACACCCCAGAACCAAACATTTGAACGTGTTTTAAAATTGCAGTGCATAATTAACTTCATGAGTAACATTTATTTTTATTTATCATACATTCTATCTCTTCCAATACTTTTAAGCCTTAACAATGAAATCTTATATCCAGTAAACTGGTTCACATGCTCTTCCTTATTTTTATCAGCACCCAGGAAGGAAACGATACAAGCTGTGTGCAACACACAACATCATAATAACACAGAGAGATTGGTTTAACAAGCCAGAGGTATAGCATCTTGCTGCATAGTCACCTCGACTAGTTTCCTCAAGTAAGACTGGCTTTCCCCCCACATGAGAAATAGTCTCTCACTAATGCGTTGTTTTTAATTTATACAAAAACATTCACAAAATATCCCCAGTGGATGACAAGCACAGTACTGCCAATCCTGGGATACCTGACTCATGCTTTTATAGAATTCATAATCTCCAGTTCTATGTCCTTAATAGTGATCATTAGCTAATTCCAACTGTCATCTACTTAATATTGGCAATTCCACACAAATTTATAGTATCAAATAATCAAACACTAGTGTTTAAAAAAAACTTTAAACAAATTGTTGATAATAGTTCTATGTATGCGATTTAAAAAATACTATTATTTTGCCACTGAAGAATAATTTAAACTAGATAGTTAAATGCTATCTAGTTAGACTGTATCTCTTATTTGATAGTACATACCAGTATATATACCAGTGTATGTGTGTGTCTGTAGGTGTATATACACACACAGACATTGTGTGTTCAGTGTTTTTATAATTTTTAAAGTAAAGCAAGAATGGGTGTCCATGGATCACACGTTTAACTGTGAGAGAAATCATTCAACACACCATTTGTTCAGTTAGTTATCGCCTTCATTGCAGGCATCGTTCTTGGTTGATTTTCATTGGGTTTCCAACCCTGAGCTGGTGTTAAGCCAACAGTTTCTGAGAAGTTGCCATAGCACATCACAGCACATCAATGGCCAGCAGTACCATTTTTGTATGGCAAAGGCATAGGAACAAGGCACTGAACAGTGTGTGAATTGATACACCAATAGAAAAGGTCATCAAATTACGAAAAGTTTGGATAATGCTTTAAAACAAAGATGTTTATCACATGTCATAAACAACTTATATCTCACTTATACAAATAGCTGATGCGTAAAGGGTTTCATGATGCAAAATAGGCATTTTAAAAGGAAAAAAAAGATTTAAAAATATTCAACGATTTTCTAGATTAAGGTAATTACATTCCTCACTGTACATTGCCTTGCATTCTTTAAATACTAAATACAAACAAACACATTCACTTCTCAATATTTCCCTTCCTTGAAGACCTGAAACGACCCAATACCCACCGGCGCGATGTTATTTTCCAGGTATGACCACCCTTAGCCTTGAAACTGCTGCCACCGAAAGTGTGTCTTTGAAGAACTGAGTAGTTCGTCCTTTGTTGAACCCCAAAGTTCAGTCATCTGAAAATCAATTTTGCATTTCCCGGAAGGACTCATCTGGGTTCCTGATGCAAGGTTAGTTTACTCAGGATGATTTCAGGAACAAATCCCTGGCATGATCTTTTACCCAATATTCTTTAGCATGTGAGTTTTCCCATGTCAGCTGATTTTGGTTTTTCATTTGCATATTTTAGGATGACAGGTTATGTATGGCTTGGTAGACCGCTCTGCTATCTTTTTCTTTCTCTTACCATTCTCCTTGATGTACAACAATCCAACAGAATACCACAAAATATGCAGATGCCCTGGAGGATGATGGGATAGCCCGAATCCAGTGTTTTACTCTAAACTGCCACATCCCATGATTTTCTGACATTCTGCTTCCATATGCACTTTCAGCAATCATTTACAGAATACAGTCAACAATATTTGAAGAACCCTGCCAAAGAAGCAAACAAGTGAAACTCTTCCAACATTACAAAGTTAGGCTCTACAAAAGTGTACAAAACCTTTGAGCTGGGAAAAAAAACAAAAAAAAAAGGAAGAGTTGCAATTGACCTTGGCTCTGACCCCTAGCCCTAAACCCAGGGACAGAAAGTGAAGTAAGGAAGGCAACCAGTTGCTTGCTTGCTATGCTGATTACATTGTTACCTTCGCCAGCTCTGCCTTGTTTTCTTGAAGCAGAACTTCCTTGGCAAGAATATCGGAACTCAGCCGCAAGTTCTCTTTTAATTTTTTGAGTTCAAAGTCGTGGAGAATCTTAACAGTCATTAACTTTTCTCGCTTGATTCTCTCCACAACATCTTTTGGAACATCAGGGATCATCCAGGCCAATAGAAATTTAAATATAAACACAACGTGCTGAAGGAAATATAAAGAACAATGAAAGGCATTATTGGAATTTTGCTGCCATTATTTTGAGAGGTGGGTGAAAGATACAAGGTTGTGTGTGTGTGTGTGTGTGTGTGTGTTTGTGTGTGTGTGTGTGTGTGTGTGTGTGTGTGTGTGTGTGTGTGTGTTTGTGTGTACATGATCTGCCCTGGTCAGAAATCTTTAATCAATATCGCAAACTAAAAAAGATAAAAAGTAACAAACACTTTGCTTTACAATGTGGGGATAACTACTAAGACAATGGGTTACAATGATTGCCTGGGGAGATGAGGACCCAGGGTAGGAAGGAATAGTACATACAGCTGTTTCTTTGCCACAGATAACTGATTTTTGAATTTATTTACATATTACAGACTTGCTAAAAATAAATGAAAAAGAAGCTGATTCACAATTGTATGTACTTGTTATTATTAGGTTTTACTGCAGAATGATAGTGCCTTACATTTATGCTTTTCTCCCCTATTAATATTCATATCTGTTATTTGTAGCACTTAATCGATAACTTAGTCAAACACCCTCACTGTCTTATTTATATCTTCTTGCCAGTTTTATCTCTTCACTTAGACTAGCAATTTCAGAAAGCAGGAAGCATAATCTTGCAGCTAGAGTAAGCTTGGGAATGAGTTATCCCCGGCATTAAAAGCAAGCTCTAATATTAGCAGAGTAACCCTAGTAGGCTACTTCCTTTATCAGATTTTCAGTTTCATTTGTCAAAGAAGAATGATAATGCATAGCTTATAAGGCTCTTAGGAGAATAAAATAAGACAACTTCAACAGCTGTGTGAAGCCTTAAACTAGCCTCCGGAGAGCCACTCCCAAGGACACAGTCACTTCTCTGTCCTGTTACGAACCTCAAGGGAACAAACATGTGGGGCTCCAAAAAGGGTAGAAAAACAGACTGCAAAGATAATGGAAAGTTTCCCCACCCTTTAAAATCCCATTTGTAATTTTTCGTCTCTTCCCTATTTAGGCATCGTTAAGTGCGTAGTAGGCATTTAACAGTCATGGTGTTGAAATATTCCTAACTTGCTTTTTTACGACAAAATTGCCTTTCACAATCATTTGTTGAGGTGGTGCTCATTTTCTGACCAGCAGCTATACCTTCAGCAATATATCCCTAAAGAGAGAAGACCGATTGATGGGGATGGGAGTCAAGAAAGGCTTACTTCCATAACTATGATGAAGGTCATCTTGGCAGCAAGGACATGCCAGAATTGCATATTGTGAGAGTATTTAAACTCGTGGTCAGGAGGATATCTGTAATCTCGGTACCTGAAAATGGAAGAAAATACAAATCTTACCTGTAATTTCAACTGAGAAAGGCAGCACAAAGTCTTAGTATTTACATTAAAAGACACATGGAGTTGACCACAAAAGCAAGGCTACAGAAGGTAACTGCCATTATGAAGTTTATTTTTCTGTCTGTACAATAAAATCGCAGCCATATGACACTTATTTTCAATTTAGACATAGCAGGCCACCCACAAGAGGCGATTTTCTTCAAACACACATTTCCCGACAGCGTGCCCCAAATCCACCGTCTCCATTTGCTCTGTTTCCACTCGCAATGCCCGTGACCCGAACACTCCTATGGAATAAATGTGGTTTTTCCCCTTGTATTTGATCCAGGCGACATTGTGATCCTCATCTTATCTGATCTTTCAAGAGCGGAATGTGAAGTGGTTGGCCACTTTTACTCTCGTGGAGCCCTGGTAGCACAGTAGGTTAAGTGTTTGGCTGCTATCTAACTGAAAGGTTGCTGGTTCACAGTCACCAGCTGCCCCTGGGGAACTAGATGAGACCACCTGCTTCGGTCAAGCCGCGCAGACGCTGTGGACTGGTCACGGGGATGACAGTGAGTTGGGCTCCACGCTCTTGAAGCTCTCGCTGTGGTCGGCTTACAGTGTCGGCACTGCACTAGTTTGCCTTCCTCACTACCTTTCTGGAATTTTCTCATCTTCAGGGTCAGCAAATTTTGAGATTCTTCAAAGACTGAGACAAAGGACCTCTCCCATTCTGACTTTCAATTCTCTCCTAAGTGATTTCATTCACAAAACACAAGGTGTTAATACATATTCACCCACAACCTTGATTTCTTCCCGTGCAAGGACTACACATCCCTTGAAGTCTTTTATATTTATATTTAGATATCTGGAAGACATCTCTCCATTAGCAAGTTCACTAGAATTTAAGATATAACGTGACTCCCCACATAAAACAGTCCTAATCTCACACTCCTTCTCTAAGCGAATGATACAATAAGCTAGGAAATATTATAAAATCATTTTGACACACCATTCTCTAACACCCTGCAAATGGCAGAGACTAGAAACTGTCCATGGTGACTGCAGTAGATTTACTAGTTACACTGAGCTGTTTGAGGACAAATGAAATGTGGATTCTGATTAACTCTGTAACTCAGAGGAGATCAGCTGCATTGGGTTTCTGAGACTGCAAACCTTTAGGAGACCAGGTAGCCCATCTTTCTCCTGTGGAGTAACAACAGGTGGGTTTGAACTGGTGACCTTGCCATTAGCAGCCCAAGGCTTAACCTAAAAAACTTCAGTTCTGAATGCCTGAAATGGGATAAGTAAATGCTCATTGTTTGGTAAAGTTTCATGAGGAGATAGGAGAAAGAGTAGCCAAATGATTCACTTCCTTTCTTATCGTTATTTTGTCAATGTAGAAAAAACAACAAAAAACTCATTTACTTTTTAGAAGAGAGGGCTTAGGTTCAGAAAGGTTATATGCTTAAAGTCACCTAGCTGATCCATTAGAGAAAGTTAGAAGAAGCCAATGCCCCAGACTTCTAGTCTGGAATTCTAATACATCATTCAGAACCATCATAGCAAATCAGTCAAAAGCTGTAATTTTTTTCTTTTTAACTTATAGAATTTAAAGAATTATATAATTTGTAAATTTATAGAATTGCTATGGTTTGGAATCGACTCGATGGCAGTAGGTTTGGGGGTGTGGATAGGCTATTCCATATATAAAACATCCACAACTGAAAATGTTTCCTCTCCTCTCATCCTATAGGAAAGCTCTCAGTGAGCTGCTTGATCACATTGTTCTTGTGCTGACTGAACACCACACCTCTGGTGCACTAGCTTCACAGGTGTTCTTATGTTGGGGCCACTGTGGCAGCCACCGTGTCCCTCCATCTCCTTTCCTTCCTCTCTTTCACCGCCCTCCACTTTACCAAGCAGACCTCTTCCTCTCGGGCCTGGTCTCTCCCGATAACTTGTTCAAAATATGTTGGATAAAGTCTCAGCATTCTGGCCTCTAATCCTATTAGGTGGTGATAAAGACTGATCACTTTGAACAATAGTGAAATTCTAGTATCCCTTTTTATAATAAATATGCTGCTAAAATTCTGTAAAATCCCTAAATCCCTCAGAAAGTCACAATAAGCAAACCACATCCACTGCCGTTGAGCCAATACTGACTCAGAGTGACCCGTGTGCCTTTCTCAGACTGTAACTCTTTATGGGAGTGGAAAGCCCAATCCTTCTCCTGAGGAGCTGCTAGTTGTTTTTGAACGGCCGACCACATGGATTGCAGCCCAATGCATACTACTACATTGTCAGGGCCTCTCCATCAACAATAGCCAGTAAGTACATGATATTTACTGCATACAAGTACAAATACATACATGCAGACAGGCACATACGTACGTATATATATACAAGGGGGCCTCAAAAAGTTTGTGGAAAAATTCCACTATCTTTCAATTCCAGTTTCCCAATCATTTTTTAGACCACCTGTCTATAAATACATCTGTCCATATTATAGTACATAGACTATCCGGCTGGAAAATGACAATGCCAAGAAGTCACACCAGTGTCCTTCCGCTAAGAGTCTAGGGCACAGTTGCTCTAGAGCCCACTATGGAATATGACAGAGTCTAAAAAGTAATCGGTCCTGCCGGTGTCATAGCATTTTGCTGTTTCTTTGTTGAGAGACCAGATGAAGCACTTGGTTTAAGGTTTGTGTTTAAGCAGGCTTGGTGTATGGAATGAACAGATTTACAAATTCAGTTTTATACCCTTCCTCCAGGAAAGATACCATTAAAGTGGGATGACTTAAGAGAATGGATTAAATTATTATTATTTCTTTTTCACTCAATCTCTTAGCTGAGGCTGTATAATTAAATTCAAGAAAGTTAAATACACATGTAATATGACCATCCAAGGTATTCTCTCTCTATTATGTCTTGAGACCAAAGGATATTTGTTGGAAGAGAATTTTTTCAATCACTCTGTGGAATAAAGTATGAAGTCCAAAGTCCAATGATATTTACTCACAAGATCCTCCTACTTTGGAGCATTGTCTTCCAAATCAGAATCATACACTGTGTGACTTCCCGGGTCGATACAGCTTACCTGCTCGGGTTTTCAATCACCCTAGGTAAGTACTTTACCGCATGAGAAACAGAGAGGTCGGGGAGGGAAGGAGCGCACGCAGAGGAGAAAACGAACATGCAGCAGACCAAAGGAAACCTGCAAGTGAGGAAGTCTCGTTTCCCGGTGGGCGCCGTGCGGTTGGTAAAATCCGCTATCAGGAACACTGACAGGCTGTTGTTGACATATCCGTTCAGAGGCTCCGTGGTGTTTTCCGAGTAGGCATACAAGTACACTAACCGGGGGATGATGTCTGATGTAAATGCAACAATAAAGGCCTGGAAGACAAAGGGAACAACGGACACAACATGAGCGGCGAGTCCAACTGTAAACATATACTTGTATACCTTTCAGTTTCATGAGCCATCTGAATGTTTCAATATTTTTAAAATGATCTAATAAGCCGAGTTAAAATACAAGTCATTGTCCTAAAATAAGAAAGATTGTTCATTTATACCTTGTGTTATTACTGGTCCAAAATGCCATAGTCAGAAAGTGGCTGAGTTGAGAAACCACTATGTTGTTTATCCAATGATGCATAGTTTGATTGCCAGACTATTATTTATGGCTTCATAACAGAGTTCTACAACTTAAAGAAATGTACTTTGGGGGCCAACTCACTGAGCCAGCTGTGTGTGTACATACGTATGTGTTGGAGGTTGGATGGATGGGGAGATGGAGAGACGACCTCTCACGCCGTTACCATCACTATTTGATTCCATTGGAATGGAAATTTTCCATCCATTTCAGCATCTTCAAATAATGTCAATACCATGTTTAACATAGGTTAGACAAGCCACTTCTAAAACCTTACGACTCGTCACTTTGGTGCTACGTGCTTATATAACACTAATATTACTTCGAAACGAAAGGATATTAGTTATTTGTTGACTGTGATGTGACTCAAATAAATGTGTTCACAGATGTTAATTTATTTTCCAGTAGAACAGGATATGTTGAGGTTACTTTAAGTTTCAAATGAAAGGATATTATTTTTCTTTGTTACACTCCAGTCATGGTTTCCATTGCTGATTGAAAACATTCTGGGAATTTTTACTTTCTAAATATGTGAAACTTTCAAAGAGAGTTTTAAATGCATTGATGTAAATGGGTACAAACAGTTTCATCCATATTTTTTAATGTTCAGGTGAGAGTTCACCTGAAGCCTAGAACAGACCTTCCTTGTTCAAGATTACCCGCCTTTTGCCTAAATGTCTCAAGTATTTGTTTTAAACAGACCACATCGTCTTGATTTACTAACAGCTTTATAATGTTGGTTTTCTAATTTGGTATTTCTGCGTATATCATGGCAAGGGGGGGGCTTCAAAAACTTTGTGGAAAAATTGATCTTTTCCCCCTTTTCACAAACTTTTCAAGGACACCTTGCATCTTTGTTAATCCTGTTTTAATTTCTTCAGGTACATACTCAGCCCTTCCAGTTACACAGTCAGCTTATACCTTCCAGCTCACATCTTCCTTTCTTAACAATACATGTATTTATCACTGTAAATTTTTTGGAAATCGCTTTTAGCTGATTTTGTTGTAAGTTCTCCTTGTAAGTAATCTTAAGGCCCTCTGGTGATGTGGTAGGAAAGCAGTCAGCCACGAAGGGGGAAATCAGCAGTTCAAACCTATCAGTAGCTCCACAGTGGAAAAGACCCCCTCCTGGAAAGGGTACGGCCTAGAAATCCCGAGGGAGCAGTTCAAGCCTGTCTTACAGACCCATGAGGAGTAGGAATCCATGGATGGCACATCGCAGCGTGCTAGAGTTCCGATTGTACAGCGTGTCTATAGAGTGATAGTCAGTGGTTACGTTTTGTTTGATCATCCAGTCGGTTTTTAAAACCTTGTATGGGAATGTGCCCAGCAAGATCTCTACTTTTTAGAACCTAGTTTGTTTATCATTTAAAAATAAATATATCATAAAAATACGCGAAAAAAATCTGAAAAATTGTGTATAGTCTCTGTTTGTAATATGTAAGTTTATGCCTATAAAACAAGCACATCGTATTCATATCCTTTGCATCCCCATGTTCTTTATGCCTTGCCAAGTACTATGAAGCAAGTATTGTGAGGTTTTAATCAGGATGATTTTATAAATTTTCCTCACACTTCTAAAAGTTTTCAGTCATAGATCTTTCTGAGTTGGTTAGTGTATACAGTTTCAGGATGATTTTATGCTTATGGCCTATCATTATAATGCAATCAATGCAATACAGATTTGCACTAAGCATCAGTCACATCTCTCCATCCCTAAGGAAACAAAAGGCAATCCACAGTCACTCTGCTAAGAGCGTCTTACTTACATTGGTTGCAACAGAGAGGACAGCCATTCCGTAAAGGATGTCTTGCCAGACGCCTATGCTATGAGCCTTAGCAGCCACAGGTCTCCTGTACTGAGTTGTAAGTTTCCAGGCATCGACTCGGATCTCTAAAATATTATTCAAAAGAGCCAAAAGAGGAGCCAGAGGAAAAGAGGCCACAAATAATGTAACAAATCCAAATTGGATAACTGCAGAGAAATTAAAAAAAAAAAAGGCAAGAAGTCATGATTGTGAATAATTGGAACGTGGGTCCACCTCCTACCACTTCTTTCCAGTTGGAAGGATCTTCATCAGACAGAAGACTGCAGACTTCCTTCCACCTGCCACTTCCTCCTCTCCTCAGGAAGTAGAGGAACATAGTAGGGGTCAAGGGCAGGACCAGGAAAGTGGGCATGCATGATTCAACTTCCTTGCTCTTCCTCTTGAGCTCTACTTGTTTGAAGAGAGGATCTATTTTTCTTTTCTTATTTTTATTATGGGCTAACTTTTTTGTAAGTGTAATGCTATGCTGGTTTTGTCGTCTCATTTTGTTTGTAGAGCAATCAAATTTTTCTATTTTGTGAATTAATGATTTTTGAGAACAGAGAAAATGACTTATTTGTGTCTGTTTTGCGTACTCAGCATATTCAGTAACGGGTGTTAAACGCTGAGCACTGTTAATGAAGGCATTACACCAGATCTGCAGCAGACAAAACAAACAAACAAACAAAAAAAACCTCCTTGCCATTCAGTCAACTCTGACTCCTAGTGGCCCTATAGGACATAGTAGAGCTACCTCTTTGAGTTCCCGAGGCTGTAAAGTTTTAGGAGAGCAAAAAACTTACCTTATAAAGCTAAAAAATCAGATAGAAAACATATATCAAGCTAATGACAGTCAAAAGAATGCAGCATTAATCTCAGAAAAACATTAATCTCAGAAAAAAAGAGATATCAAAATTAATACCATGAGAGACATAGGTTACTATATAATTATGCAAGTTTTCATTGAAAATAAAACCATAATTAACATATATATATATGCACCAACAGAAAGATTATCAAAATACATTGATCAAATTTTTATAGAAATGACGACACAAGTAGATCGCAAAATGATAATACTAGAAGACTTGCATACATCATTTTCAAGTACAGATTGACCAGCTAGCAAGAAAATTTATAAAGACACAAAAATATTAACTAACACAATCAGTAATCTTGATTTCATAGATACATATAGAACACTTCTCCCAACAAAAATTCTTTTCATTTTCTTCTCTAATGCCCCCAGAAGCTATTTAGAATAGACCATGTTTTAGGTTATAAAGGAAGAATCAACAAATATAAAAGCATTGAGATAATATCCCCTTGCAGAAGGGCTGCAGAGAGGAGAGGAGCAAATCAGAGTGCAGTGTGTAACGATGTGCAATTTTCCTCTAGTTCTTAAATGCTTCCCCCCCCTCCCATACCATGATCCCAATTCTGCCTTGCATATCCGGCTGAACCGGAGGATGTGCACTGGCACAGATAGGAACTGGAAATATGGTGAACCCAGGACAGATGAACTCCACCAGGACCAGTGGAGAGGGTGGTGATGGCAGGAGGGTGGACGGAGGGTGAGGGAGAAAGGGGGAACAGATGACAAAATCTGCATATGGCCTCCTCTCTGGGGGACAGAAAGTGGAGAAGTGGGTGAGGGAGACGTTGGATGGGGTAAGATATGATAAAATAATAATTTATAAATTATCAAGGGTCCGGGGGGAGGGGAGAACAGGGAGGGAGGGGAAAAATGAGTTGACACCAAGGGCTCAAGTGGAAAGCAGGTGTTGTGAGAATGATGAAGTCAACATATGTACTAATATGCTGGACACAAATGACATGTACAGATTGGGATGAGTTGTATGAGCCCCTAATAAAATGATTATATATAAAAAAAATAAAATCAGAAAATAGTAAGAAGAAAAACGGAATTGGACTATTATTTCAAAGTGCATAACACCTTTCGTAGGTCACACCAGAAGGACCCACATTAGAAACCTCAGTAAGTGAACTGAACTTTACCGTAAACTTGGAGCAGAGCTTCGGTACTGAAGTACTCTCATTGAACTTAAGTTGAAATGCCCAAGTAGAAGAAGCAGGTCACTACTATCCCAAGGTTAGGAGTTGGTGGTTGTTGGACTTTGGTGTGATTTGGACCGATTGCTTTGAGGGTGCTCAACAAGTAGTGAGCTGAAACCAACATAAACTTGCTGTTTTCATGCTTTTTCTGTGATGTGTTAGTTTACCGGCCATGATTCTGCCATTGAAAATAAGTGTTACTTAAAGTATTACCTGATCTACAACCTCCATGGCTTGTGTAACTAATGTCCAGTCACCTAAATTTCAGAGTTGTATGTTAACAATTCATGTATTGTAGTCTAATAAATGTCATGCACATGTATAGATTCCTTTTCTCAAAACCAAATTCTATACCATTGACAAAAACATTATTAATATTAATAGCATTAGGTTATGACCCACGGAGATGATATACTCCAAGAGAATCATAATGATGTCTCTAAAGTGAACCAGGGACCTATGTAAACCATATACAGTTTAATGGACTTTGAACTCTCCCTAATATGAAGACCATTGTGTCTTGTGACATGGCCCAGCTCAGTACCATTGACACCTTGGTTAGCAGCTACATTCTTAACTCCAAAGGCACCCTTATTTTACAACACAAAGACCCAAACCTTCTGTTTTTAATGGCATGTGGATACAACTCATTGCATAACCTTCCTATTCCCTTGAATATAGGCATAATGACCATCATCACACATTTAAAAAAAATTAGAAATCAACCATATAATATTCAACTCCAAAAAATCAAATACATGGAAATTGAAGAAATGAAGAACACTGTCAAAAGTTTCCATGAGACAAATGGGAATGGAAAGAGAGCATGTGTAACCCAAACAGGACCCAGAGGGCAGTCTATGGCATTACCTACACATATCGATGAGGCAGAAAGACCGAAAACAGACACCTGAATCCATAAACTACAACAACTGGGGAAACTGCAACAAAACAAAGCATCAGATGCTAGAAGAAAAGAAATAACAAGGGTCAGGGCAGAAATTTTTAAAAAATGAGAAACTACAGAAAATATCAATAAGACAAGAAGTTGGATCTTTGAAAAGATGAGTAAACCTAACAAAGGAAAAGAATGAGAAAAAAACAAATGCTATGAATAATAAATGAAACCGATGGTATTACAACAGAAATAAATTAGATAAAAACAGAATCACACAACATTGTGAAATATTATATTCCAACACATTTGAAAGTCTAAAAGAAATGGATAATTTTCTAGAAATGCATAATTTACCTAAATTCCTACAGAACGATGTAGGGAATCTCAAAAAGCCTGTAACAGGGGAATAAATGGGTCTACTTATAAAAAAACTCCCAAAATGAAAAAAATCCAGGTCCAGATGGTTTAACTGGAGAATTCTATCAAATATTTAGAGAAGAGTTAATGCCAATTTTATATAAAGTATTCCCAAATGGACAATATACTACCCAAACTAATTTTATGAAGCAACTATTACTGTCATACCTCAACCAGGCACAAACATCACCAGAATTGAAAATTACACGGTAATATCTCTAATGAATATAGATGCCAAAAAATAGTCAATAAAATACTAGGCAACAGAATCCAACTAAACATGAAAAAAAATAATACATCACAATCAAGTAGGATTCATACCAAACATGCAAGCATGGTTTAATATTAGAAAAACAATCTATTTCATCACATAAAATAAAAGAGAAGAAGGTAAACAATCCACCATCTAGCTCAGAAGCAACAAAGCCCACATGGAAGAAGCACATCTGCCTGTGTGATCACGAGGTGTCAAAGGGATCAGGTAGCAGGCATTAAGAAAAAAAATCCTATCATTCTGAATGAGGGGGAGTGCAGATTGGGGACCCAAAGCCCATCTTTAGGCAACTGGACATCCCCTTACAGAAGGGTCATGAGGAGGAGACGAGCCAGTCAGGGTGCAGTATAGCAATGATGAAATATACAACTTTCCTCTAGTCCTTAAATGCTCCCTCCTCCCACTATCATGATCCCAATTCTACCTTACAAATCCGGCTAGACCAGAGGATGTACACTGGTACAGATAACTGGAAACACAGGGAACCCAGGACAGATGATCCCTTCAGGACCAGTGGTGAGAGTGGCGATACTGGAGGGTGGTGGGAAGGTGGGATAGAAAGGAGGAACTGATTACAAGGATCTACATATAACCTCCTCCCTGGGGGAAGGGCAATAGAAAAGTAGGTGAAGGGAGATATCAGACAGTGTAAGATATGACAAAATAATAATAATTTATAAATTATCAAGTGTTCATGAGGGAGAGGGGAGCGGGGAGGGAGGGGACAAATGAGGAGCTGATACCAAGGGTTCAAGTAGAAAGCAAATGTTTTGAGAATGATGATGGCAACAAATGTGCAATGTGCTCGACACAATGTATGTATGTATGGATTGTGATAAGAGTTGTATGAGCCCCCAGTAAAATGATTAAAAATAAATAAAAGAGAAGAACCATATGATTATATTAATCAATACAGAAAAGGCAATTGATAAAATTCAACATCCTTTCCTGATAAGAACATTCAACAAAATAGGAATGGAAGGGCAATTTCTTGACATAAAAGAAGCCATATATCCCAGACCAAAGGGTCCGAATCTCCCTGAATGGTGAGAAATAGAAATCATTTCCTCTTCAGACTGGAACTAGGTAAGGTTGTCTTTCATCACCACTTATTTCATAGAATTCTGGAAATTTTAGCTAGAGCCTTAACAGTATACACATAGGCACAGAAGAAATAATAATCTCTTTATTTGCAGATGACATAATCCTATTTATAGAAACCACAAGTATTCAATTAAACAATCGCTTGAACTAATAGAAATATTTGGCCATGTAGCAGGCTCTAAGATCAACATACAGAAATCAGTTAAATTCTTGTATATTAAGGAAGATGATACTGATAAAGATATAAAAAGAACAATACCATTTACAATAATTATACAAAAGATAAAAAAGGGATAAATACTACAAGAGAAACAAAAGACTTTTACAAAGAAAACTATAAAATAGTCCTTCAAGAAACCGAAAGGAGTTTACACAAATGGAACAGGTTCTTGGATAGG